AACAATAATAATAATAATAAATAATAATAATAATAATAATAATAATACATGCATTCTCCTTAAAGTAATATTTTGAATAGAAAAAGAAGTAAAACTAATGCTTTCAGATTATAGACGGATAGCCTGTAAGAACGCACACTAAATATGTTGCAGAATTTTTTTTATTCAACATATTGTAATTTCACAAATTTATTGAAAAACATGAAAATACAAGACAAATGATTTAGTACTGCAAACGATAAAACGATCAGTGAGACAAAAAAGGACAAAGCTGAGGTAAAAAAAAGAAAAAAAAAAACTGATTACCAAGTCAAAAACTCATATACATACCCTGACAATCAGAAAATTTCTTGCACCGTAAGCAAAAAAGGACCTTTAAGTAATGGAAAAGAAAGCAGTAACAGCAATAGAAAAATGTGAAGTAGCGAAGTAAAATGAAGAAGGAGATGTTTGCACTTCTCTCTTCCTCTTTGGCAAAAGCCATATTAAGGAGCTGGCATATCCGCCCAATGACTCCTTTTCTCTTAAAAAATAAATTATGTCCCAAAGTATAATCAAGAAAATTTTTGTGGGACATTATCATTGTAATAGTTAAGAATCGCATGATACTGCTACCATTTCCAACTTTCCGGTATTTACGAAGCAAGAAATTATTGTTTTCCTGTTTAGTCAAAACATATGCCCTGAGTTGATGACATGGTAAAATATCAAAATTCCTTGCAATTCATTCCCTTCCCTTCCAGCCTCAATTTGATCGTTAGAAAAAAAAGGAAAAAAAAATGAAATATGCCATAACGATATTTCCCAGACAATATTACATGGCGACACTACAATGTAAAAACTGAATATGAAAACATACTTCCTAGTCTGTGAAAGATTAAGAAAAGAGCATACTTGCAAACGCACAATTTGTCAACAAGCATGGACTGAACACAGATTAAATATCATCAAAAATTAAAAACTTATTGAGTTTAAAAAATGAAATGAAAACTGATGAAGCAGGTAATGGTTCAACAATTATTTTTCAATAAAGATAATTGTGAAGAACCACTACTTCAACCAGGACAAAAAGATTTTTGCCACAAAAATCTGCTTCACAAGCAGAATAAGTGAGGAACACAACAAGAACGTGAACAAAACGTGTAATATACACTTGCATATTTTATAGTTTAGTACCTACCTTAGTAATTCATCGCAATTAATAACTATAAAGGGCTGAAGTAACATCAAGAGCTCATATATGCAATAGCTTAATCTTCCAAAAACATGACACTGAATACCGCAATTAAAAGGAAAATAGTTATGGAAAAATTAGACAAATTGACGAAAAACAAAATCACCTACCAATATAATTACTATACACGGCAACAACTGATATAAAAATTCCTAGTATACCGAAAACTACGACTCAAAATTTTCCGAAATAAAGTTTTTAATACAACTACTATTGGAAAGCTTCAGCCGGAATCCTGTCACGTACAGCCAAAAATGCTTGCCCTGCAGCCTGAATAACAGATAAAAATTATCATGCCAATAAAAAAATCATTGAGAACCAACAAGTAGGCGGATAAACACAAATAATGAGGAAATAAAACCCCTTCAGATTCATCATGTTGACCTTTGTCTGATAAGCAGCTTTTCAGAATGTTAATTCGATTTCAAAATTAAAAGAAGATTCTGAAACAAACCTCGTAATTCCAATTTTGATCAATCAAACATTTCTTAGACCACTCCGGCTTCATTCTACTTTCTTGACAAAATGCTTCAACCATTTGTTGTTGCATTTGCTGATCGCCTGCAGCAGCACGCTCAGTTGGTGTCAGTTGCTGAGGAACTGATGCAGCGGGACTCTGAATACTATCTGCTATGGACATTCCACCCATCGCATCTGTTGTTGCAACTGCAGCATCTGCTGGTACCTAAAAGTACTTCCATGGAAATATTTTCTTTGCAATAACTTTCGGTCACTAGTGAAAGCACACAACTTCAAAAAAGCTCTCTATTCATTTTTTGCAAAATTAATGAAATATATTAGGGTATGGGCTTGTAGACAAATGAAAAAAGATAAAACCTTTAAGGAATTCGTAATCATCGATTTATAACGTTGTATCCGTTCCAAAAATACTCCACTGACAAACAGCATATCGTTGACAACTGCTATTTTCCTGAAGATAGGGTGCTTGACTTTCTATACGATAGCAAAAAACAAAAATCAGGGAGTTATGAAGCTTCTGGCACGAAGGGTTTGAAAGACAAACAGAAACGCAAGAGCACAACAGCAATGTTTAAAAAATTTTTCTGAAACTAGACATCTATTACTAATACTGGGACACAGTTTCTCTTACCCCTAATCAAAACCTTATTAACATTTCTTCACTATGCTGCCATTGCCAGCTGTCAAAAGACATCAATATCTGCAAGAACTTTGTAAAACTTACCCGTTACCTTTGTTCACAACAACAAAATTACGACAAAAAAATCTGAGTTCATCGTCATCTCCAACTTTTTCCAAACCATCACGGAAGAAACCTTCCACGGCGAAACACATATGTTTGTCCTAGAAATTGCTCACTTACAAAAATGCAATAGAATTGAAAAATAAGGAAATAAATGTTAAGCATATTCATCATAGCTTAGATCAATAATATAAATAATGAGTAACAATTCCCGAATAAAAAGCTGATTTCTGCGACTTTTTTCCGATCAGCTCAACGATATAATAAACCTCTCCATCCTCATACTATTCTGGGATTATACTATTTTGTGTTATTGGCTTAGCACTCATTAACATCATTATCGGATGGCAGCCAACATTATGCAATCGGTAAAAACATACCAAGTCATTCACTAGTCCCTAAGCCAATCTTAGAACAGACTACTTTGACTAAGATAAAAAATTACTAAACTCACAGTTATTAAAGAAACATCAACCAGAAATGTATCCATCAAATGTTTGGTAGCTGGAAGTTTCCGTAAAGCAACAATGATATCCATAGCTCCTTTATATATTACTTTTTCTCGAAAACGTTCCCATCTTTCCATACATTTGATATTGTGCGATGTTTTACGATACGTACTATATATACTACAATGAAATGTAACATTAATGATGTTTGTTTCCGCTATTCTTTCATAAATGAATGATTTGTATTTTAAAATTTCATCCTTCAATATAAGGAGTACAGAAAAACCTCTTATATTGAAATTTAGGACATGACATGCTAGAAGAATGCTATACAAATCATAGTGCTCAAGCATATCATTCATTATTAAAAGGCAGCCATCTAAGCGACTGTCAATATCAAAAATTTCAATGGTAACGCGTAGTAATCAAATAAAGTAAGGCTACGCACAATAATGATGCTAACCTCGGGTTGAAATAAGGCTTTCTTTCATTTGCATCCGTCAAATTTTCCGCACACACTGTAAATGTAGCCTAGAAATCAGAAACTGATAAGTTCACTCAACAAGAAAATTTGTGACCAATCCGTCTTATTTATAAATAAATAACAGTTAGTTGACAGAGTTGTTTGCAGAGAAATATTGTGAGTCATTAAAGAAATGATATGTAGAGACACTGGAAAACATCAAAGTTCCAGAATGTTTTTCAATCCCAGTATCAAAGCTATGTTGCATTTTGGAAAACCATAAAGTGCATAAAAGAGGACTAACATTTTCGTCGTAAGCATTAATCAGATTTTTCCTGTTATTAACATCTGGATCGTCATATGCAACCATAAATTCGAAAATGAATGCTTCGATAAGAGCGCGGTAATCATCGGTGCCATAAAAGCTTGGCTAAAAACAACAAAAAACCTTGACTGGTCGTGGGATTTTACAAATCAATCACTAATCAAGAAAAAACAATTCTATATTCTGAGAGTAATTCTGCAAGATTATATAACCATTTTACAATTGTCACATGTTGATCATGCAGAAGTAGAAACTTCTTGGTAAAGGTGTTCACCTTGAACAGAGGTAGCTTAGCATTTTCATCCAAATCTGGTACCGCACAGGAAGCAGATCGTTGGACTGGTATACCATCCTGAAAATATTCAAAATGATGCAAAGAAAAGGACTGGTTCTTGTTCCTGTAAAGAATGCACGAACTAATAAAAATGCTCTTCTGGAATACTGCTTCATAATCATTTGTAGCATAGCTCTACTGAACAAAAACATCAAATGCAACACAATAATTCAATTCCAGAACGTTCCGCACCATACAATAGCTTCAGTCAATACATAAAACTACTCCATAAATAGAAAAGATTTACCAGCATGGTCACCTTCGGGAAGACACGATGAATAGCACTGTAATCGAGGGAACATTCTTATATTATATAATGTATGGATATGCACACATAAATGTCCATCCACCACATATGAAATGAAACATGAGAGCAAGGAAATTTTCGGTGGTAATAAATTTTGAAGAATGAGACAACCTTCACTTCACCGAAAATTCAGCACGTAATAACCTGACACGGTACATGCGTGCGCTTGAAATAATGTTAAAAACAAAAAGAACTCGCAGTAAGCAAATGATAACCTTAAATAAGCTTCTGCTGACGAATACGAACCACACAAAGGATTGTTTTCGAAAAATAATGTCTCAATTGGCCATCCTTTCAGTTTATCCAATTCCAACTCCTTGTCGATCTGAATTAACATGGGACCAGTTTTTTAATTTACACAAATACTAACTTTACTTTTGGTATACATGCATGTCGAATATTTAGTGAAATCTGCCTTTTGATAACAAATGTCGCCATTGGTAATTTTCGATCAATTCCCCTTAAAAAAAAAAAGAAAAACTAACCAAAATCCAAGAAATCAAACAAAGTGTTAGCTACCTGATTAGCCGATAAATCCAACGTTTTTACATTTTTGATGCGATAAAGAAGACATGCAAAGAAATCCAAGAAGCGAAGGCGATTTCCCTGAAAATAGAGTGGGACTTGCAGAACAAAAAAAACTTTCCTATTTTTGTAAAACAGGAACCAGTTCATCTTACACTCATTCCCCTAGCCCTCACAAGACCACCAGTTAGATATCTCATCAGAATATAATCCGAAAATCGTTAATCAGAATACAATCCGAAAATTGTTACATTTCAACACTATTCAGCCCCTGCTCCTCTGTACTTTGACAAGTATCCGCCGAAACCGGATTTCAGGTGCATTTCCATGCTTAAGAATTTTAGACTATAAATAACATATACAAATACCTTCATGCTTAAAGCAGTTACACCTCCATAGTGTTGATCGATCAAATCAACAACAGCCATCATAATACTGTTACGAGTTAAAGAAAGATGCAAACTTCTCAAACGGAACACTGAAACATTCAAACGACAATAATGAAGTTATTTGGAAATAGAAGGATAAACTTATCAGTCATCCTGCCTTGGGATAACAGCTTAACGGATTAAAAGGATGGATTTTTGATCCAACAGCTTCCCCATCGTGCCAGGAAAATACTTCGAGTCATCTGCCATACCTCTACTGCTATCGAATTACTAATTATGTCAGAGAATTTATTGATTTGACAGGAGAAAAACCATAACCTTTAAAACTAAAAGGAAAATAAACCGCTACAGAAATCTAAAATTAACCAAGGAAATACGTAGGCTTATTCAAGCTTATTTCACTTCTGTATCCATGCTTTGAAAGAGCTAAATCACGAATAATTGAGTTAAGATAGCCCATTAAGTACGTACTGCTTTTTTAGAAATCATTGGGTCGAGTAAAGAATATCAAACTTACGTTCATCTAAACCGAACTCACTCAAATCAAGAGCATGTGTTTTCGCGTTATAGCGTTTCTTCAGACATTCCTGAAACGAAGCAAATTACAGTTTTTTCTTCAGATTATCAAGAATTTGTTGGAAACAACTGAGATTTTGATAACAGCCAAAAACTGAACTATTGGATAATGATGCCGATTTCCCTATTCAAATTATCACGCCAACCACTAATAACTAAAAGGAACCGCAATGAGATCTCTTTCATTCATTGATATTGTGGCAAAACCAGCTGATACACGTGATAACAGAAAAGTAATTGGCGCATTTGTATTCGGATCCCGAACACGCCTTGATATTGCATGGATTGCCGCAGCTGTCTGAATAATATTGAATAATACAGATTAAAATCTAGAAAGAAATGAAGCCACGTAATAAATTCTTCGATGTCTTTGAATTTTTTCCAACCGAAATATACATAGTTTCAGAAAATAAAAAGCCAAAAATTAAAGAGTCAGAGCTTTGTGCAGCGCCAAAGTGCAAGAGACTGAAGTTATTCTAGACCCAATCTGCTCGTAAACTTATGTTGTATTGCATAACTATCTCGAAGCAGCTTCACGCTCACATTTTCCTCATGTGAAAATACCAAATGGATAATGAAAAACATATATCACTAAAATCTAATTAAGAAATTATCAGTAAATAATTTTATTTACATCGTCATCTTCAACGAAAAATGTTATATCGCCTCGATCCACTCTGAATAGTAAAGGTTTTACATCGTCGACATATTGCTCGATTGATCGCATAATAAAATCCTTTCCAATTGTAGCACCTCTTACGACCTGAAGTAATCATTCAAAGCCTCAATTAATTTCCTAATTCCATAATTCTAAAGTATAAAATTTCCATAATTCTAAAGTATAAAATATAAGTTTAAGGAAACATATCTGAGAAAACATATACCTTGATCTGATTCATAACAACTGCAGTAGTGGTCGCACTACCACCGGCACCACGTTGTAATTGCCTATCACGTCTGTTATCAAGATGAATTTTTATCGGTACGCGATCTCTTCCACTACCTGGAAACTCCATAGCAATAGCCATTCAAAGCTCTAATCTAAAAGAACTATTTCACCAACTTTAGAAAACTTGTTAGAGATTCTTAATTAAATATTGAAAAATGCGTTTATAATGATTTAAAACCACACCTTTTCCCGAACCTCTTCCACCTCGCCCATATCCACCACCAGTGCTTCGTCCCTGCACTTTGTAGAGACGTGGATCGAGTTCCTAAATGGAAAATCAGGAGAAAAATTTGAAGGACGCTTAAAAATTTTGCATGAACAATCGAACCTCACTACTTGACTTCATGAACTACTTCAGTTATCGTTCAACGGTGAGGATATAGTATTTTAACAGCTCATCATCCAGGCATACAATAAAGTGGCGGACATCTGTTTTGAAAATGACCAGAATGGTTGTTTCAACGGTCTCAATCATAGCTGGAGACCAAGTAACTTCATGCAACGATATCACTGCCACAAACGACTATCACCAGGATGAATAGTGTGCTAACTAAATAATAACAATCACTAATTTGTTCCATAACCTAGCGGCTCGTCGAATATTCGTGATTTAAGTTCATGTTGGTTATGAATATGCAAACGGTACTCGGAAAAAGGCTTATAACGCCAAATCTCGAACCATCCAGACTGATCTACTTGTTAAGGAAACTTTGAATAATTTCCATTAATACAAACTCAAAAAAAGAAAACTCACCTTTCCATCGTCGTCATCATCATCAAATCTCGGTGCTAGATCGCTATCATAATAGATGAGCTTTTTCATTGTCAATTTCTTGGCATCCCATTTTTGATAGCGCCGGCTCATATTGCTATCTAAAATTAAAATGATTCATTTAAGTGAAGAAGTATAACATGGGAAAAAAAAGTGAATAAGAGAATGTCGACTGACTGATCGATTACTCTTATTCTTTTCAAATGATCGATTCTAATTTCCGGAGTGTACATAAGGATTATATAAGGTAACAAGCTGACTGCCTTCACGCCCACAATTCATTCCAAACAATGTATCAGTTAAAACATTTGTGTTTTAAATCTCTGATAAGTATGGCATTTGGCATTCTCTTCATGATTGACATGTGAAAAGCTAAGCAATACTAAAATACGCCATTATTCCGAAAATTTCTAATCAACTAATTTTTATAAAAATTATAGTACGTCTATTGCTGATTTGTGTATTTTCTGCATTTCCCAAAGTAGCTCATGGCGTACATATCCTACGCAAGAAACTCAAGGTGTACTTATTATTTTCCAACTATATGCAACGAGAACTTCAATCTAGTACGTTAATACTTCGACCCCCTAATGGCCAACTGAGATTATTTTTAATAACTCAGGCAAGTTATTAAAAATAACTCGTAAGTTAGGACCTTCTCCTTTGCTAAGTTAACATTTCAGTTCCCCAATGAAATAGCAGACCAGCACTCTCATTCTCTAACGTGTTTACCAAATTTGGCACCTCAATCCTTCAATGACCTGCCAGGTTAGCATCTCCGTTCCTTTACAATCACCAATTATCACCTCAGTTTCCCAATCATTAGCACTCTCATCCTTAATTGGTTGCTAAAATTGCCATCTCAACCCTTCAATGCTCTTCCAAATTGGAATATGCAAAACACATAACCATATGACCCAACAACTACACCAAAAAACACTCACCCACCCTATACACCTGACCATCTCAGTCCATTAAAAACACTTTCGCACTATGCAACTGGCTGTCTCACGGAATGTTGGGAAGCTGGAAATTAAGCTTAATTTGCACCTGATTTAGACAAGATCCTCATGCTAGTTATATATTATACGATATTTAGTAAATTATCCACGAAATTTACATTTATTTACCGATTAAACGAATAATGGATTAATGGGCGGAATTTGATTTTGAACGTAGAAGAATTTATTACAATGCACTACTGCGCATAATGCGCATATGTTCGATATTGTTTGAACAGAATCGCATCAATACTCAAATCACTTAGTATGCTGTAGTCACCAATTGATGTTATCAATCATATTTGACAGTTTTACGAATGCTTCATTCATTGCCGATCGATTGATTTACTAAATCAATGAATTGCTCATTGAATGGTTGATTGATGTACTGAATTGGCTAATTCACTTCTTGACAATCAACACAGATCAACTTTTACCGATTCATTCTTTGGAAAGTGATTTTTTTTTCTGCCACCAAATTTCTAAAAAATAATTAATAATATGAGATGGAAAACTTTACACAAGAATACATTCATTGTCTTCTACTTGTTTTACATTTTTGCACTCATAATGAAATTTTTGTTGGAGTTTTAAATTCTTTATTAAAATGAGTAAATAGGGATAATGAAAAATTGGCTAACAATTGTATATTTTATAGTGTAGTAATACATACAAAATATATTGAATATTTTATAGTCAAGAGAAAAAAGATGTTAGGTTATAAGTACGATATAATGTTTAGATTTAATTCAATCATTATCATATGATCTAGGAACTTTGACCTTCATATCGAATTATATGAAATATATTAGATTTGAATTGCTTTATATTTCGTATCTGTTTATGCATCTTATAGTTTTCCGTGAGAGAATTAATCAATCATTTTTATCATGCTAATCAACTTAATGCAGTATATGATAGTATTGTAATCAAATAACGTGATCTATACTTGATGACTTTTTTTACTACGTGAACTTAGGCTACGTGAACTTTACATATGGTGCAGTCTAAGTGCAAGAAATGGTGAATTTTCTTCACTTCTCTTCTAACAAGTGAATTATCGCTCACAGAACTATCAATTAACAATGATTACATATCTTCCTGAAACAAATCAAATTTATCTTATTTGAATAACCTGAAATCTAGCTGCGAAAAAATGAAAGACATCTTTGTTTTGATTGTTGCTAAACTGATTGACATAATACGAAATTATCATTATTCACCGCAATATAATATTATCGTTCCTAAAAAGCAAAAATTGACTTTGGCTTTTTTTTGCCCTGAAATTCATTTACTAATTTGAAATTTTCATTCATGTATTCTCAATTTATCATATTATTCCGGTCACATTCACAAGAACGATTTCATTACTTTCAAATAATACTTTAATAACATTTTTTGACAACTTGAGCATTTCTCCAATGCACTTTTCCCTTTTTGGAATTTGAATCTACCATCGTATCGTTTCCTCGATATAATTAAGTTGATCATCTGATAATTAGTTTAATCACCTGCTGTTGATTGCTAATTAATTCTAACTTGAACCAATCAATTTAACATTTAATTATGCATGCCCTTCTGTTGTACAAAAAAATATTCAAAAAAAAATATTTCAGTGATTTCAAGGCTTTTTGGGACTTGTCTATTTCTGGCTCATAACAATAATGCTAATGATTATGTGAGCCTTTTCCTCTTCATTTAGCTCTCTCTCTCTCTCTCCCTTCTCCCCTTCTCCCTTAATTTCATTTAAGCCTCCAAGAAGGGCTTCGTAGCCCGAAGCACGTAATAGGCCTAATTAAATGTTACTTTGACACATTTAATAATCAAATGCAAATAACAGTTTAAGTTTATTTTAAGATTGATTTATTCCACTTTTAGTGATAGCAAATGGTAATAATAACAACCTTGAATACAAGTCATACTTTGGATTGATTCAATCAAGATATCCCAAGTTCTAGGAGTAATCCAAAATGATTCATCAACTGATTATTATACTAACAGAAATTGCGAAATAATTTGAGATACGATTGGGATACACTGGATACCGGGATATTGCCGTTGAAATTTAAAAAATTTTCCTAATTTATTTACTCGACTTAGTTTGTCATGAAATTCAATTCATAACTTAATTAATCATCAATTTATGCAATGTATGTTATCATCGAACAAAATTATCTTGATCACTTCTTTTGCACCATATGACATGCTTGATTTTATCATCAATAATAACTTGCAAAAAAAATATTTCGAAATTAGATGATTAGCTCTGAATTAATCTTTAAATACCAATCTTAAGCGATAAATTACATCGTATAAATATATACAGAAAAAGGAAAACTGAAAATTATGAAATACCACAATGAAATTGGTAAATGACAACATATGACATTATGCGAAAAAACATTTAGATTATAAAAAGAAGGAAAAATATAAGTAATATTTAGGTATTCAGGATTCATTGTTAAAGGAACCAAAAAGTTTTAGCTAAAACAGAGAGAGAGAGAGAGGAGGAGAGAGAGGAGGGAGGGAGAGAGAGA